AAGAAATTCAAAATATACATTTACTTTTCTACATTCGGTCAAGTTTTTTATTCTGTAGTCGAAACATGAAAAAGAAATTCAAAATATACATTTACTTTTCTACATTCGGTCAAGTTATATCTGTATATACAGATATAACTTCAAAAAATTCAAAATATACATTTACTTTTCTACATTCGGTCAAGTTATATCTGTATATACAGATATAAATGTATATTTTGAATTTCTTTTTCATGTTTCGACTACAGAATAAAATATATGATCAGGATTGTACGGACAAACGCTGCATGCAACGATTCACGAAAAGTTCATACATTAATTGAGCCGTAGAGTATAGGATTCGCGTATTTGTCAGAAACGAATCATGTGCAACAAATTCGATAAGCTTAAGAAAAGAAATAAAAAATCAGGGAGATACTATCGATTCAAAATATATAACTTGACCGAATGTAGAAAAGTAAATGTATATTTTGAATTTCTTTGATATATCTGTATATAACTTGACCGAATGTAGAAAAGTAAATGTATATTTTGAATTTCTTTGATATATCTGTATATAACTTGACCGAATGTAGAAAAGTAAATGTATATTTTGAATTTCTTTGATATATCTGTATATAACTTGACCGAATGTAGAAAAGTAAATGTATATTTTGAATTTCTTTGATATATCTGTATATAACTTGACCGAATGTAGAAAAGTAAATGTATATTTTGAATTTCTTTGATATATCTGTATATAACTTGACCGAATGTAGAAAAGTAAATGTATATTTTGAATTTCTTTGATATATCTGTATATAACTTGACCGAATGTAGAAAAGTAAATGTATATTTTGAATTTCTTTTTCATGTTTCGACTACAGAATTTTTTAAAATATATACCCGATCAGTTTGTATAAAAGTTACGTGTCACTGATGACAATACTCTCTTCTCCGTTCTGCCGTAATCCAAATTCGAACAGGAATTAGATAGGAACAACTCTGATCAACAAAAAGCATGGTTTACGATCTGGTTTCTCTCCGAAAACGGCGCTATAATTTTCTAACCATACCCAAGTCGTTAAAGACAGGTTCTAAGCCAAACAGGATAGTAAATACCTCGAAAATGGTAGTCTCTCTCGCATGGCACCTAACGAACTAATTTCACTTGTTTTAATCAACCTACTGTTCAACGTTAAGGGGTTTCTACATAAGATACAGATCTTACAAATTCTGATGACAATCATCTGTGATGCAGCTACGATTCATTGTATTGAAATCGTTGCAAGATTTTTTCTCAGCATTGATTTCGTGCGCAGAATTTATGCATTAATTTCGTAACAACGCCGACATAACTTTCTACAAAATACTTCCGGTTTGAGTAGCAACAGGACGTACGTTTTCCAATTGCCTTCGGTCAGACAGTTTCAGATCTCGATTCAGAAATTATGAGATAGATCGGTATGTATTATACTTCTGGAAAATGTGATAGCGAACGACGTTTATTGCTGGATAAGTGGAACTAATTATTATCGCTTTGAGACCATTTCAGTTTTCATTGCTAGACTGCGAATCCTTGTGCACTCATGAAACCTACAAAGTAAAATACAAGAAAGCATTTACCATTGCCAGAAATTAATAATATATAATAATACGTACGTCCATGCACTGCAAAGTACATATCAAGGTGTTCGATAAAGCGAACAAACCAGTTTTCGATACACGAATTGTTCATGCAAAACCGTTTTTTTGTTAGAATTGTTTCGTCATTTTTCACGTCAAGGAGACGCACCGCAGGATGGGTTTCTAAACCGCGCGATCTACAAGTTATTTAGAGAAAGGAAAGTTGCAATAGAAGACATCGGTAGTACATATCAGGTTTTCGAACATTCGTAATATGATTTTTTCCGAAACGAGACGAATCAACCGCAGACCTTTGCGTTTCTTTCGTAAGTTATTTCGTAACAACAAAAAGAAAAGACCTTTTTACATGATTGAAAACTCATTCAGCTAAGGATTAAGTAACAAAAGCCGGCAATTGAAAGATTTTTAAATAAGGAATATATGTTTTTATCGCGTGTGTGTAAATGTTTTTACAGGTATATCGGAAGTGACCGCCATGATAAACACGAAGTACGCGAATCCAAAGGAGGACCATCCGGATATACAACTAATTTTCGGTGGTTATTTGGCGGATTGTGCTGAAACTGGCATGGTCGGCGAGTCAAAGGGTGCAAACCGCACTATCTACATTATTCCGACGTATCTGCACCCGAAAAGTCGTGGTTACCTCCGTTTGCGGAACAACGATCCTCTCTCGAAGCCAATGATTTATCCGAAATACCTAAACCATCCCGACGATGTGGCCGGCCTTGTTGAAGGTATCAAATTCAGCATTAGATTGGCCGAGACCGGAGCTCTCAGCAGGTATGACAATCCCTTCTCTAAATAGACAAAATACATAGGACGTCTCACCCAATTTCAGCTGTCACGGAAGACACAATCTAGAGTTATTAGTTTTTTCATGGGTGAGATTCGCACACGTGAAGCCCATGCGAAGGTCAATTTTGCTTTTTTTTAATGAAATCATGTACGTTTTAATGCATCAACCTAGCTCGACATAACGACGAACATACTATTTACTTATGTCGGTTTATTTAAATAAACATAGGAGATACACGAAGAAGAAACATACTAACAAATTGTAGTTACTTAAACATGCAGTATTACACAACGATGTGTCAAAGCGATCGACACATTTTGCAAATTATAAAACATGAGAAAATGAATCAAGTGTCAATTCGTTTACAGAAATTCATTCTCATCTAATCACGCAGTGATTAATTCGAGAATATTCAACAACATATTTACACGAACCGAATTTCATCGAGTCTTGTAAGACCTAAGAGAATGGAATAATATCATAAAAGTAATTGGCGTAATAATGAAAGAAACTGTGTTCAATTTCAAATCTGTAATGTTGGTTTCGTTAACTAAATTACTACGACTGGATACGAGATTTTTTGTGGTAGCGATTCGACGATACAACATTTATCATTTACTGTTGTGAGAAACTGTTATTTTTATATTTCAGATACGGATTCCAGTTGGATCGCACGCCGGTAAAGAATTGCGAGCACTTGAAATTCGGTTGCGACGCTTACTGGGAATGCGCTGTGAAACACGATACAGCTCCAGAAAATCATCAAGCAGGTTCCTGCAAGATGGGGCCTCCGGATGATCCTTTGGCTGTAGTAGACAATCAGTTGAGAGTCAGAGGCGTCAGAGGTGTCAGAGTGGCTGACACCAGCATCATGCCAAAGGTCGTTTCCGGTAACACGAATGCGCCTGCCATCATGATCGGTGAACGGGCTGCTGATTTTGTCAAGAGAACCTGGGTAGGATGAATAATACAACTTTTCAATGAAGAGAGACGCATTTGGAGTGGAAACGCTATTGGCAACGGGAAGAAGTTGATATGTAATGTTGATAATGTGAAACGACAATCAAGTATTTAGCTTCGATGTAACGATGCGCGACGATGTTTCTTGACTACCGCATTTCTTGCGACAAGTATATGTTAGGGAAACCGGAAATTAATTTTTAGTCGCGCTGTAACGTCGTATAGTGTTTTAAGAACACGCAAAACTCATTGAAAATTGGACCAAGTAATTTCTATAAAATCTCTTCAGTTTCTTTCTGTCCTCCGCGAACTTCAAGATTTGTTCGAACATGACAACGAAGCTTCAACCATTAGCCCTTTTTTTAGAAAAGGGTACGACTTACTGTAAATAGTTCGAAAATAGTATCAAGTATTACCGATAGATAGAATTTACACTATTATTTGTATATCTTAATGGAGACGCAATCTTCTATATCTGCGATTCTTTCGAAGATAATCCGTTCCTCGATCTTTACAACAATCACTATTAATGTTTCTAAATAAGTGTAATAACTTGTAGGGATTAAATTTTAGGAATTCGTATAGAATATCCGAAATAGCCTTGATAAAAGTACGTACTAGTACTAGTATAAGCGACGTACAATGGAACCTTGTTCATTCGATAATCGATCAACAGATTGATTACCTGAAAACTCGGATATCCTAACATCGTCAATTTCCCTTTAATTAGAAAAATACATATTCGTATAAACGATTTACCTGTGTTTGTTCTTCCTGTAAAGATGATTTTTAATAGTGCCTATAATATTTCCGAAAAAAATCACATTATTTTTTTATTACGAACAGAAGCGTAATAAATTAAATCTCGGCGAAAGAGTCTCCAAAATTAACATGAAATTGCTCAAGCATTGCTGAAATTAAGAAAATAATGTGTCTAAATTAATGTCTAAAGATTATGAAAACTGATAAGAAATGTTTAAGTATAGACTTTTTTACGATTTTGGAAGTTCTTAAAAATCTAAGGTTTTTCAAATCCATTTTCTCTTATGTTCCCTATTTTTTTTAATAAAATGAACTTACTACGCAAATGTTTCTACTTAATCTTAAATAATTGAAATTATAGATCCAGACATTTTTTTAGAAATTATCATGTTATATGTTCCCACGCGAGACTTTTACTGCGTGTTGGTTGTAATAAATTGGCAGTAATATTCTAATAATAGTAATAATATTATATTTGTGACATTTTTAATAATGTAAGAACACTTTATCGATTCTTCCGAACTCGCACTTGTACTTCACCTATACGTACGTATAAACATACGTATAATTCGTAACACGTAATAGTATTTGTTGTCATTTCTTAATTTCCTTGAAAGTAAGTAAACAAAGTTTCTTCAGTTTTTCTCTGAATTGAAAGGGCGGCAGTTTCTTACGTCACGCTATGTGAACGCGAAGCTAATGAAATATCTGAATATTCTTCCCCGATCATATGTCAGAATTTCGGATACCCGAAAGTTTTCGGGACCCGATATAACTTCGAGTACTCAAAAGTTCGGATCCCGACCCGATCAATAGCAAACCCGACTCGGGGATCGGATACCCGAATTGTCAGGTAACCGCACATCCCTAATAATCAAGGTTCTATTGTAATTCAAACGATTGTTAATAACTTATACAACACAAAAAGATGACATTAATAAATGTCGAATCACTTCGGTCGCAAATAAATGTAATTTAAATATAGTTTACCTACTATTTTAGCTGTAAGCTATTATAAAAATTGATTAAAAGAATTAAAAACTGTAAAAGTATTCATAAAAATAGGACCAGCAATATTACTGTCATAGGAAAGAATAAAATGTTCAGCATAAAAGTAATGTAGAAAATATAGAAATAAAAAAATATGCGTAAAGCATCTAATATATACCTTGCTTTCATTATCCCATAACAATAGAAAAAGTTTCTTATAACATTTGTTAAAGAACCTTTAAATGAAAACTCTAGATTTGTATATGATATGATCAAAATGACCTCACCTCGAACTGAATTTGCGCTAAGAAAACAGTTTCTTTGTCCATAAAATGAAAAAAATGTTCGTAAAAGATAGGCGTGGCTGATATAGATAACGTTCAGATGCTTCCGTGCGGAAGCAATCCAGGGACACTTAAGTAACAAGAGCGTTTCGATTTAAGGTGACAATAAGTCGATATTGACCGATCTGAATTGTGGACCAAAGGTGTGACTTATGCGTTATTGCCTCGTTATCTTTCATTGTATCATACATATTTACAGTATTATTACATATTTACGAATACTACAACGGATTCGACAGAAACATAATTTTACGAATTATCCTTTATGAATTCACTATTGTGAATATATATCAGTAATGGATATTGATGTATTTCATCATCGTTTTGGTATAGTACATGTGATACAATGACGAGTCTCTTGAGAATGTTGAAAAACAAGATTCGTGCAAGAGTCCAAACAATAACATGAATCAGAAGATACGTGCAAGTTAATTAGCATAAATTCAATTCACCAATTTACAAATACGCTACAAAGTAATTAACATAAACTTAATTCACCAATTTAAAAATACAGGATTTTTAATGGGATTTTTTTGTTTTGATTTAAGGAACGTCAGATTTTGATGAAAGGTTTACGCAAACTGCTTGCTAGTTTTACTTAATGTCCAGAAAAAATATTGACATTCATATTTTCATGGTCGAAGTTTTTATGCTCTTCCCGTCAGGCTAAATGCTTACGTCATAAAAGCACATATTGAACGATTTTCTACGAACGAAACTCGTGAAATCATCGATGTGAAATGAAATATAATGAATGATTCTTTTTTGAGATTTTAAAAGTTGTTCATGAAATCACTTCCACATATGAGAAGAATACTAAATGAATTGAATGCTCCTGAAATTAGACAACATAAGTGGAGACGTTATTGAATTTTTGTATAGTGCATTTATTTTTCACATACATCTATGGTTACAATCTTTCCTTATAGTCGCTCATTTCACAACCCTAAATACTAAATGCATTTAATAGTAATATTTATCACACACGACACACGTACACAAATGAAACGTACACAAATCCTGATCGCATACATTCTCCCAATATCAATGGAAAATCGTCTATTCGAATTACCGTTGTTCTTCAATTATCGTCATACAACTTAAATTATGTAATCTTAATAATAAAGGACTAGATTCTTACGCCCTTCTTCTCCTCCTTTGCAAGCCAATGTCATATAAAAAAATTCCATCCAAATTACACTGAATTAGTAATAACTGCTTCGCCTGCGTTTGCTGCATCTGTACATCTTGCGTATTTTTTGGATGTCTCTCTTACTGAATCCTTCTCGTTGACCCAATTGTATATTAGTTGCAGTCTGAAATATTCCACATGAACCACTTATAACAGGCTATTTCAAAGCAATGATTGTTGATTTTTTTAAGTTCTGCACGTATTATTGTCCTCGGTAATTCTGATATGTACACTGCGAATCTTTATGCGTTCATGACAAAAATTGATACGTCGATTATACAATAAAACTTTAGAAGAATTTGAAGATGCTATTATATATATTCTTTGTAACTTTTGTTAAAATTAATAGAGAAAGCAATAAATCTCTGTGCAGTATCGACACCTTGCAAAATTAATGCAAACAAATTTTCATTTTGTTAAAAAAATATCCACAGTTTAGTGATACGTAATTTAAAACTGAAACAGATCACGCTTTCAATTCTCCCTTTTGAATTCCTCTAAGATAATCAATAATTACGGTTTAATGAATTGCCCACCTTTGGGACTATGGTAGGCTGGCCGTTCCTCGAAAACGCGCCAGCAGAGTAATGCATTACGCTACCGTAATCATATCCGACACCAAACGCGTCAGTGGTCTGTCTGGAGGCTTTCTCAAAATTCCCAGCATGACCTACATAGATAACAGCATGTGGTAATGACAGATGTATTTTGGAAATTTGTATAGAACTGACACAGGTACGACAAGTAGACGTAGGGTTCTGAACAGGTGTCGGTTACCCGCGCATGAAATGCCATGTTCTTTCAACTTCAATTCCAATAATTCGAAATACACAATGTTCATTTGTCAATTACTATCGATATTGTGCCGTGAACAAATTCGAACTTGAATTTCGATCAATTGCAAATTATAGGTAACGATTCAAAAATGTATTGACATATATTTGTCGAGAAGAGAAAATATATTCGAGTATTTCCCGCGAGTTTAAAAATTTGTATTCGTGTGATGAAATGAAATATTCGAGTATTTCCCGCGAGTTGAAACATTTGTATTCGTGTGATGAAATGAAATATTATTTTAAATAATAAAGAAGAGATTCCTAGTTAGTAGATTGGGGATTTTTATGCATTTATGACACGCGAAAATTTCTGTAATACAAGAGAAAAACAAGTTTTGTCTATCGATTTCTAGAAACGACTGATTTGTATGAAATACCTCTTGAAAATGCAACTTGGGTGTTACATACCATTCAAAATGTTATTCCATTGTATCCTAACGAACTCGTCTCGCTCGAATCTGCTTTGCTCGTGCAAGAATCCTATCGCATGCATCAATTCGTGTATCACCGTGCCCTTTTTGACAACGCAGCCTGGAACCTGTAAGTTCACGTCTTGTCGACCACCGATTCTACCCACGCTACTCCAACAGCCAGTTTCGCCAGCAGTGATCCTGATATAATCGTTTTCTTCGCCGGTGTAAGGTTTGAACTTGATGCATGTGTACTTGTGGTAATCGTTCATGGCGTCATGGATCAGTTTTCGCTGGTTTTCATCTGCAATAGATTTGAACTTGGAAAAACGTTAGATTTACACAGAAGTCCTTTCATCGGGTAGCACTTTGCAAAATGCAACATTTAGTTACTATAACAAAAGATAACTCATAAGATATTATACAACGTATACTATGGAACCCTTAAATGTGAAACTCAATCTCCGCGCTCATGATTGTTCGTAATTATATGAAAATCTTTACAATTAGTATTACCAACATCGGTGCGTGCGAAGTAGTTTATTGACTTTCAAATCAGATGTTTTATGTGAAACAAAAAAGTGTATCATGCCATATTACAGAAGCGAATAAAATATCATTCGCTGTCCGGTTAAACACGTTTCACGGTGCGTGGGTCACTGGTGCCCCAAACTGGAATTCCCTTCGGGCTGTTTGGTATCAAACAGTTTCCGACAACTTTTGCGTTTTTAAACAAGTCTGTTTGATGATCAGTTAGAGGGAAATAAATTTGTATCTTCACTTTGCAACGAATTCCGACAAGTACAGTTAATTTTATGTATTTCCACTGACTGTGGGAAAGAGACCAAATTTCAATTCAGCAACTACAGAGCAATTTATTTAATGAAATCGAAGCTGGGAAGCTGAGGCTCTCGTGACATTAATTAATTACACTTTCAATTCTCTGGAATTCGTAGATCGTAAATTCTAGTACACTCGAGCTACCAATTTTCTACTCCGAAGAAATAATTCTATCTTTCAAATATGGGTGACACACGATAAATATGATAATTAATTCATCACGGAAAATGTTACTAATTTGTACATATTAACTTTCGACACTGGAATGTCACCACTAAAGGTTATCGTACCATAAAATAATAATTAATAATGCTTGTATCGAATAAATTGCTGGAAAAAGAATAGTTTGTGTAAATGCGTTAAATCTTACAAGCACTGTAAGCTAATGTAACAATATTATATGCTCAAAAAAATGTCTGTGGGTCCTAGAATTAAAATCAAAGAAATAAATATCTTATCTATCTTATCTTTTCCATTTNCTCAAACAAATACATGATTGGAAATGCGTATAATAAAAGTTCCTCGAAAAAAAGTTATCTTGAAACTTTTATTTAAAAAAGACTACATAATCCTTGATCTATGAAGTATCCATAATATTAACTTAACTGTAACGATTATTTAATACTGTCATAATAGAATTTATTAAATAATATTTAGAACTTGTTACAGTTATTTTCAAATTAATTACAAAATATCTGTACCTATTATTTAAAAAGAAAATGATTATTCCCTAACCTTTAATTTCAAAACCATTAGTTTATCAGCCCTTATGGGGACATTTGAAATAAGAACGATTCTTTTAAAAAAATCCTTCGATCCATCTATGAAGTTGTACCTATTAAAAGGTTCTATAACTTTAAATCGATCCTTGCTGAGCAACAACTAATTTTTGACTAGGTTTGTAACTAATTAGTATCGTAATATATTCGAACATTTAGAATGCAAAGGAGTTCAAATACCACTCACTATAATAAATTTCAACATTAAATAATAGAGTACAGATTTGATGCGTTTATGACAAAAATTAATAGGTCAATTGCAAACAGTGAAAAGATTTAAAGAATTTAAAGACGCTGTTGAGTTATTCTCAACTTATTAAAATTACAGACAACATCTATTTTGCATAAAAATATTAGTTTAATTTCGTGGGAACGTTAAGGTCGGTATTCTGCACTCGGCGTGTTAAAATGGCTTCGAGNTACTATGGAACCCTTAAATGTGAAACTCAATCTCCGCGCTCATGATTGTTCGTAATTATATGAAAATCTTTACAATTAGTATTACCAACATCGGTGCGTGCGAAGTAGTTTATTGACTTTCAAATCAGATGTTTTATGTGAAACAAAAAAGTGTATCATGCCATATTACAGAAGCGAATAAAATATCATTCGCTGTCCGGTTAAACACGTTTCACGGTGCGTGGGTCACTGGTGCCCCAAACTGGAATTCCCTTCGGGCTGTTTGGTATCAAACAGTTTCCGACAACTTTTGCGTTTTTAAACAAGTCTGTTTGATGATCAGTTAGAGGGAAATAAATTTGTATCTTCACTTTGCAACGAATTCCGACAAGTACAGTTAATTTTATGTATTTCCACTGACTGTGGGAAAGAGACCAAATTTCAATTCAGCAACTACAGAGCAATTTATTTAATGAAATCGAAGCTGGGAAGCTGAGGCTCTCGTGACATTAATTAATTACACTTTCAATTCTCTGGAATTCGTAGATCGTAAATTCTAGTACACTCGAGCTACCAATTTTCTACTCCGAAGAAATAATTCTATCTTTCAAATATGGGTGACACACGATAAATATGATAATTAATTCATCACGGAAAATGTTACTAATTTGTACATATTAACTTTCGACACTGGAATGTCACCACTAAAGGTTATCGTACCATAAAATAATAATTAATAATGCTTGTATCGAATAAATTGCTGGAAAAAGAATAGTTTGTGTAAATGCGTTAAATCTTACAAGCACTGTAAGCTAATGTAACAATATTATATGCTCAAAAAAATGTCTGTGGGTCCTAGAATTAAAATCAAAGAAATAAATATCTTATCTATCTTATCTTTTC